CGATTTCATCTTAATGGCGTTATGGACAGGTTGCGGAACAAGTATCTCACAAGAAATTCAAATAATATTTACAAATTTGGAATTATTGATATATTCGATATAACGCCGATTCTTACGATAACGATGGGCGGTATGATCCTGGCGCTACTTATCTTGATAATCGAGAAAATGTATTATTCGTTTAAATTTCGATCTAAGAACAATGAATTGTCTGTTAACAAATTGAATCATAATCTGGCGCAAAAAATAAAATGCAAAAGAGAAACAACGAGAAGAATTCAAAATTTCCAAGAATTTTATAATAGACCGATTGGCTATTGGTCATAATAAATGAAAGAACCGCTATAAATGCTTTAGGAATTTCTAAAAACTTGCAATTTTAATAATAAAAGTAAATATTACATAATTATATTGTTTTATAATTCTGATGCTTTATAAGAATATAAGAAAGAGATAAGAATCTGATGTATAAGATTTCGAAATATTTTAATCTTTATGGAACTAGATTATATAATAATAAATTATTATTCTATTATTTATTTTACTATTAGAAATTTACGACAATTCTCTTATATAATAATATTAATTTATTTTTAGGAATCTTTTTAAAAACTTTTCATAATATTATTGTAATTTATAACACTTATAGTTATATAATAGTTTCCTTAAATAAACTTTAACTCAATATTTATAAATTGCAATTAAAAACGATATCTTATTTGTATAATAACTATATTATAAATCAAACGATCTGTTTTTAATATTTGACTTTAGGACGTATTACATTAACGTATTACATTTTGAATTGATTTATAAAAGATATTGAACAACCAGCTGCGCTTATCAGATTTCCTTGAATAATGTTTAATTTTTATTATAAACTTAAGTTTATAATATATAAAATGTACAATATCTTCAACAATACAATTTAGGAACTTCTATTAATGTATCAAATAGCCTCTTTTTAAATCAAGTAAACTTGATTTGATTTTTAAACTGTAGAATTAAATTTTTAACAATGCAATACAATCAATCATGTGCAATACACAGAATTTCAATTTGCGTATGTGGTCTGTGATTGTCACACTGATAACGATTCCACCGCTTCTCCTATGAAAATATATCGCAAATCACGAAGCACCGTGGATCTGATCTCTAAGAATTTCATCATGAAATATCTTTTGCAAGCGCTTGTATTAATATAAATTTTACAATAACTTCCGAATCAATTTTAAACATTTTGCTTTAAGATATTCGGAAACTCACGACTGCTTTGTTTTTTTTTGTTTTTTTTTTTAAGTAAAAATAATAAATTTTAACGAAATTAAGAATTAAATTTGACATTGAACTTTGCACCGAGAGGACAGGCAATTTAGAGATGATTCTATCGAAATCCCTACACGAGTTGAATGAATTATCAGAAAATTCTGGACAACATGATATGTCTGAGGAATGTGTAATTCTTACTGCAGTCGATTGAAAGCAAGATTTACGAACCGGTCCTATTGATTAACATCAGCTTAATTTTGGCGATTTCCAGCTGCGGATGCTTTATTATAAGCAACGCGGTGCTGATTATAGAGAAATTTTATTATCGATCGAGGCGAAGGAAATTCACATTGAGAGTCTTTTATATCCTTCTAAAAAGACATTTATCAAAAAGCACTATAATTGATTAAATTTATTTTAGAACAAATTAACATACATATCATTCTATCGAGAGAATTTCTTTGTCCTTTCTATCGTTCCCTATTTAGCAAAAATTTTCCTTCGTGTGTATATGTATTTGTTTGTGTTTGTAAATTATTATATGATAATTTAATTGTTATATAATGAATTGTTTACGGCGTGCTAACATTACAATAAAATAATAGTTAAAAGACATTTTTTAGCAAAAGAAGATTATTAAAGCTTTTTAAAGTTTCTTATTTTTTTACTTTTAACATTCCTGTTATGTGTGCCCGTTCATAAAACGGAAGAAAAAAAAATGTAGGCAAAAACTGTGATATAATAACGTCAATTGTAAATACGCGCAATAATAAGTTTCAGGCAATACAAAAGAGATCACACATTCAAAATTAATAGAACTGCTACAAATCGAGCTCTTCTGAAACATCTTTTAATCAAGTATTAAATAGTTACAATTTTTAGACAATAAATCACAATAGGTATCTAATAAGAAAGGCAATTAAGAGTCCACGCCGTTGTTGGTGCGTAAAAAATCCTAAATTTCGAACAAAATAATTCATTTAACGTACGTTTTTCGGTCTAATTCAGGCCATCTTTAGCGAAGCCCTAAAACCCTAGTACAATAATTTCCATTAATTACTGTTGCTTTGTCTTGTATGGATAGAATTCCCTTCAATTTCCAGATTGAGAAGTGTACAAAACTGTTACGTTAAATTATAAAATTAGAGTAAAAGAAATTGAAACGGAATAGTATAATAAAAAAAGAGAGAACGCTTACCCATATTCGATAAATGAGAATAAACTCTTTTACAATAGATAAAAACTGATAATAAATGAAAAAAAGAAACAAGAAATGTTTTCCAAATCTCTACAATTTTTAATGTACATATTAAAAAAATTTGTGTTAAATTAACGCTTACATGTCCCAAACGGTCCACTCAAATTTTTGTGTTAATTTAACGCAAGATAAATATGTTAGAAAGTAATACAAACATTATATAAAAATTAACACAAAAAATGTAACACTTTAATACAATTTGAAATCAAATAGTGGAAACATTATTTTTCAGTAAAATTAACACTTATAACATGTAAAATTTACAAGTCTATATTTATCTTTTATTCATTTATCTTAGAATTTACAATTTAAAACTACCTTATTTTTATGTTATTTATTCACTTACTTATAAATTGTTTTATTTTGACACTGAAAAATTGAATATCAATTTAACACAAAATATTTAAATAACATAA